ATTGCTTGATCAAAGCAAGAATTTTCAAGTGGGAATTTGCTTCTTATTCTTCTCTTTGTTTGGATTTAAGAGATATTTGAAGATGGGAGTTTGTTGGTGTTCTCCAGCGGACAATCCAACTCCAAGCACCACTGGTCATCTCAGTTCAGGTACTTGTTTCATAAATTGTTTCTTAGTTTTGCTAAATAATGTAATTTGTTAAGTGGGTTAGATTTTGTTTTTCTTCGTTCAGTTGAAATTTATTGATACAATCCATATTTTTCTTTGTAGTCGGCACCAAAAACCCGGTTCCTCGTGATGTTTTGTTCTTGTATTTTGGCCCTTGACTTGTGTATTTCTGGAGTATGTTAGGTTCTGTGTTTTGATCATTACACACTGTTTTAGTATGTTTCGTTTGCTGTATCATTAGTATTAGAACTCCTTTCACTATCTGAACATTTGCTAAGCACATTTCAATTCTGTGGATTTCTGTAGTTGTGTCGCGGACAACCAGCAACACAGCATCTACTGCAACATCTAGGGGCAGTAACATCTCCCGGTACAGCAGGTTATGGCTTCGAGCGGAGACGAGGTTTTTCAAGATGGGCAAATTTTATGCACCCCTAACCTAAGGGACTTCAGTTTTGCAGAAATGAAGGCTGCAACTAAGAATTTTAGGTTTCTTTATATATTTTAGATTTGAATCGTGTTCTAGTTTGATATATCAATATAGGTAGTTCTCATAATTGTGATATACGATACCCGGGCTCATATGATTTGTTAAGGTGCATGCCCATCATTTGTTTAAATATTTTCCACAAACTAACCGTTGGTGTTAATGTTGACTGAGCAGGAACTGGCAGCATTCTTCAATGACAACGAGAAGGTAATGAATGGAACATTTTGTTTTATTTCTATTCTTAGCTGCTAATACGACTGATTCTCATGTAAACTGGCTTCATTCAGGATATTGACATAATTGCAACTTACGGTGATGCTTCTGGGACTATTAGAACAAGTAGGGTGAAAATGAAGGACCTTTCTGCTTCTTGGGTTCTGGAAAACCCTATAAATGAAGATCCTAGCAAACAAAATGGCTCACAGGTACTCCCATTTGATATTGTTGAACTGTTTTTAGTTATTCATGGTCCTCTACTCAAAAATTTAAGATACCAATATTTATTTGTCTGATTAATAATAGCAAGTGTAGTGAAATTAGGGGCATGAGCTAAGCACCTTAATTTCATCAGCTAATTCATTTTTCAACAGTTATGTAATCTATATGGCAAGGAAAAGGAAAATTTTATTATCAACACTTGTCTATGTCTTTTTCCTTGCCCAAAACCTTGACATTACCAGTTGTGTAATTATTTCCCAGGTATTTAAACTGAAAGATTCCTACCAAACCAGCACAACATCTGAAGCAAAAGTTGAACATTTTATTGATGATCATCATTTGCAAGAAGATAAAACTGAAAACAGTCACCAGGCATCATGGAGCCCTACAAAGTTAAAGCGCCAGGTAAATTGTCTGACACTGCGGTTTATTTACTTTGTGCATCTTATATGGTTGAAATTTGTGATAGTATAGTCTTCAGATGTTGCGTTAAAAAAGGAGGGATCTCCGTACCGCCAAACTTGTTCATCAAGTTAAAGAGGCTGACAAGAAGATGGAAGCAATAGCAGCTATTGAGAACTTGAAAAATATATGGACCCTGTTGTCAAGGGAAAATATAGTATATGGAGAAGAGATTTTGAAAATCCTAATTCTGATTCTACCTTGAGGCTTATGCGTGACCGGGTTGTCATGGCAAAAGCCTATGCTAACATTGCCAGGTCTAAGTAACAAAATGATCTTTACTATTCCCTTTTGAAACATGTTGGTCAAAGTCTCCATGTTATTGGAGATGCCGATTCTGATTCTGAGCTTCATCCTAGGTATAAAAAACTTATGTCAACTATATCGATTATCAGATACGTGTGATCTTGTTTTTCATGCAAAAGTGTGTTGTTCTTTTTCCAGTTCACTTGATCAGGCAAAAGCAATGGGCCATGCTCTATCTTTAGCAAAGGATCAACTCTATGATTTCCATACTGTTGCAAGGAAGCTTCGAGCCATGCTTCAGTCAGCAGAGGATAAAGTAGATTCTTTAAAGAAAAGAAGTGCCTTCTTGATTCAGCTAGCTGCAAAAAACTGTCCCAAAACCATTGCATTGCATACCTTTGCAGCTAGCTGCAGACTACTACTTTCATGGATATCGGAACAAAAGGGATTTGAACTTAGAAAAGCTTGAAGATCCTTCATTGTACCATTATGCCATCTTTTCTGATAACGTACTTGCAACATCTGTGGTCGTCAATTCTACAGCGCTGCATGCAAATGAGCCTGAGAAACATGTTTTCTATATAGCGACTGATAAACTTAATTTTGCTGCAATGAGAATGTGGTTCATCTTAAATGCTCCTGAAAAGGCAACAGTTCAGGTTGAGAACATTGATGATTTCAAGTGGTTGAATTCCTCTTACTGTTCTGTTCTACGTCAACTTGAATCTGCCAGAGTCAAAGAATATTATTTCAAGAATAACCTATCCTCTCTCTGTTGGGCCTGACAATCTCAAGTACAGGAACCCAAAATACTTATCGATGCTAAATCACCTTCGATTCTATCTTACCTAAGTGAATCCAAAACTCCACAAAATCTTATTTTTGGATGATGATATTGTGGTTCAGAAGGATTTGACACCTCTTTGGGATGTGGATCTGAAAGGTACGGTGAATGATGCAGTGGAGACCTGTAAAGGGAGCTTTCATAGATTCGACAAGTATCTCAACTTCCGCAATCCGAAAATCTCAGATAACTTTGACTCCGATGCATGCGGTTGGGCATTTGGGATGAATATTTTTGATTTGGAGGAGTGGAGAAACCGAAACATCACATAGATATATCATTATTGGCAAGATATGGTAACACTTAACCAATCTTTTTCACATGTTTCACCCCTCTCATAGTCTCATGGAAAGTTCTGATAATTCCAGTGTGTCTCATATTAGCATTATCATCTGAAAAACCATTTGGAATTTCATGAGTTTCTGAACATCATTTGGTCACTGATGAAGAACCTATTTTGCAGAACGAGGATCGAACTCTTTGGAAGTTTGGCACATTGCCACCAGGACTGATCACTTTCTATAACTTAACCTATCCACTGGATCGAACATGGCACATATTAGGACTCGGGTATGACCCTGCCCTCAACCAAACCGAGATCGAAAATGCAGCTGTCATCCATTACAATGGAAACTATAAGCCATGGTTGGATCTGGCTGTCGCCAAGTACAAGTTATACTGGTCCAAATCTGTAAGGTTTGATAACTATTACCTTAAACTCTGCAACTTAAGCGAATAACAGTATGTCCCTCCTTTTGCATTCACTCTTTGTAATTCTTTTATTGAGGTAAATATAAGTTAAAAAGAGAAAATTCTTTTACACTGCTTTGTTGCTTTCATTGGATTATAACCCTTTTCTATTAGCTTAGATGTGTAATATGGTTAAAGGGTATTTTAAAATTTTGTATTTTAGTTATCTCAATTTTTTTTAAAAGAAATATTTTTAATAAGTGTATTTAGCATTTTCTACAAAAAAAGACAAAAATAACACTTATGCTTATAATTGTGTATGTAACATTATTACTTAATTCTTATCTGCACACACATTTCATATGCTTGTATAAACGTGTCCATTGTTTTTTTTTCAAGCTAATTTTTATATTCTTAAATTTTATCCAATTTATGTAAAAATAAAAATAAGGGTAAAGTACACAAATTTAGGTCTAATAGTTGTCAAAGATGTTGAAGCCTTTTACCGTTTCAGATTTGTTTTTTATTTGCATTGGACCGTTCAAAATAAATTTGATGCTTCCAAGACCATACATATCAAAACCCAATCTCTTTTGGGCTTTTATAAAACTAAAAATTTAAGATTTATTTTTAGGACACCCACAACATAATCCCCAAATTCGGCTGTCATATTAAATAAAAATTTTCATTGTGGCTTACTAATAGCTTTTAACTATTTAATTTTTTAAAAAATACATCGAAGACCTTCAAGCGATCGAAATACGAAAATAAAATAACAACAGAGAGATTTGATAAAACAAGAAAAAAATTGTAAATTATTTTAGATTTATTCCCAATTTAGCCCTTAAACTATAGGTTATTCCTATTTGACCCATCATGTGTCACTAATTAATTAACTGGACGAGTCATATTTATAACGTCATTGATAAATGGGCCCAAAGTGGTGATATAATGAAACTTTAAGGGTCACACAAAATATTTTATGACACTCATGTAAAGATCACACAAAGTATAAAAATATAATAGTCAACACAACTTTTTCATATGTGTTTATAACCCATTTAGATCTTTTAATCCCAACAAATTAAAGTTAAACTGTTATTATATAATAAAATTAACATGAAAGTAATAGTATAATATTTATGGGAGAAGAACAAATTTTAAATTGTTAGAATTTTTGAATATGAAGGATTAAATTTATTGAATTGTTCTGAATGATGACCAAATTGATAAATTATCCATTTTGAGAACAAAAACTATAATTATACCATATTACGCCACTATTTTGTCCAATATTTAACGTTCAATGACCCGTTTGTAAGAATACTTCAAGAAAAAAATGACCCGGTTATAATCAAAATAACAATTGAGTGACCTCGAGTGTATTTTACCGAAAGAAAACTGAGACATTGAGATTGAGCAGTGGTATCTAAAAAGCGTGGGAGAGGCTTGCATCATATGTGACTGAATGCTTCTCTAAGCAGCCACCAACCCAAAGTATTACCATTCTCTCACAACTCACGCAACTACTTGGAAAAAAGAAGACGACAATGATAAACAAAAATATATTAATAGCATTGCAAGCAAGCCTTGGGGGGTGCTCTTTGGGCTCCACTTATCCCCATTGTCCTTTGCACGTGAGAATTTCACTCAATGGCATGCCATATACAAATTTTGGATTCATCTCATCTTTTTCCAACACAATTGGTGGCTGTCCTTGCGGAATGTTTGATCCACTATCCCGCACAATGTCACCTATAATCACCATGGGATTTTCCATGTTTCTTTTACTACAATTACTAATTCCATTCCCCTACAAACACATTAATGTAGTTGTCGCTTTAATAAATCCTAAGATCTACCAATGCGTGCACTTTTTAATGCCAATTGTTGATTTCGTCAAGGTCGTCCAACGATAGAAACACTTCGTCCAAGCACGACAGTTCTCTTCCATCGTCTTCCCCATCACTACTACTATTTGTTTCATAAACTCGACAAACAACCCATTTGCTGTAATCCTGAAAAAGAAATACATCAAAATATCATGGACAAATTTAAAACAAATGGCAACATTGCTTGAATATTAGGGTGATTGCTATAGTAACACAAGGATCTCGTCATGATTTCACAACGATTTTAAAAAGGCGCGTTGATTGCAGACGATTTCATAGTCTCTCCATGCTTGCAAGGCGACTTCCCATGCTACTTGCATGCATGTTACCTGGCAAGACGTAGGAAAGGCAGGGACACCTAACAGGTCATGGCGAGATCATAAAATTGTTATGCAGTCAATATATCTTGAATTCGCCGTGAAGTCCTAAGCTGGCAAGATCTTCAAATTACTCTAGTAATCACACTAGATCATGAAATATTTTTTGGTATACCTTATATAAGGGGGATACAAGGATACTAACCATTTTGGAAATATGTGGTCTACGTTTGGAGGATCTAGTGCCGCTGGTGCTACTGGAATCAGAATCGGAGAGACGATATTCATGCATTATCCAATTGGTTTTGACACCTTCTCCATCTCCAATGTAGAAAACCAAATATCTTTTGATGCCAACTCTCCTGCTGCTACTTCCATTAACCACAGCTTCTTCCATTCCCGTTGCCTTCCAATACCCATTGTTTGTATTCCTATTTTGCGTCCTTCTGCTGTAGAAGTACCACTGCTTCCCCTCACTCAAAGCTTTCCCTATACATATTAAAACCATTCCATATATAATTAATTGGACACAAAAGAAATGAAAGAAATGGTAATACAGAAGTACCATCAAGTTCCCAGGGATCATAGGGATAAAGATGAAGATCAGGGATGACATCAGGGTGGCACGGTAATAGAGCCGCCTTACGTTGAAGGAAATGAACCACCAGCTCTTCATCCGTCGGATAGAATCTGAACCCCGGAGGCAGATTATTTGCATAAACGTTGCTGTTATCTCCCATATCTCTCTCTCTCTCTATAGCAGTGCAACAATGGGAAATCATATATATATATATATATATATATATATATAAGAATAATAGTGGAGTTGTGGAAGGATTTGTAGTGGTGGGGGCAGCAAATAAAACATATTTCTTTCTTTCAAAAAAATAATAATTAGAGAGAGTGACGTATTGATAACAGGGAAGGAGGATGCTCATCGAAGCATCCCCGCGGCGGCGGGAAACGGATTACGGGGCGCTTATGGTTGCAGACTTCGTAAGTAACGGTATCTATGTTAGCTATTATTACAACCCTGCAAATAGAGGACAAGTGAGATCGAGTTATGTAAAAAAACAAACATTATAATTTTTTTTTCAATTTAATTTCCTTAAGAAAATATATATTGTCAATAGTGGGTCATCATCATACTTCATGCTGATATCATGCATTTGCTGTCATATACGTGGCTCACATGAATATCAATCTGGTCTAGACTTAAATGGCTGTCCCTTGTTCCCATATATATGGGATAAGGGGGAGGTAAGATAGTAGGCTGCCCCCAACACTAGGTTGAGAACAGCTTCCGTAGGAGACCTCCAAATTATGAAATGTCCTCCATGGGACTCGATCCCACGACCTCAAGGTTAAGAACCTTGTGCTCTACCAACTGAGCTGGATGGTCTAGACTTAAAGATGTGTATATATACGAAAATATATCCACATATTGCTTTGCTTTGTGTTGAACCCCGTGATATATTCATAGTTAAAAATAAAATAAAATTTTATTATAATTTTATTTGTTGAAGATTACTTGATGATTAATTTTATTTAGCTAAAAAAATTTATAAAACAATATTTTTTTTGTGACCATATATTTGACTTTATGAATAGAGGGTCTCGTCCTTTTGAATTATGAGAGAGATTTTAGGTATATATAATCATTTTGTAGTCTTTACAACTTTTGGGGTTTACGTTGTAGGTACGAGTTTTGTAGGGATATTGAGAGAGTTCTTTGAGATGCATGTATCAATTTACCTCAGTGATTAAAGAAATCGTTATTGTTCTTATAGGTCAAGGGTTCGAGTACCAGCAATTGCAAGGGTGATTGAAAGTTCATAGTCAAATGGTGAAGAGTACTTAGAAGTGATATTGCTTTGTAATCACCTTTAGCTTAATAAAAAAAAGGTACATGTGATATCTTGTATTTATACCCTTCGTGGTCTCCATGTTTTCATTATTATTATTCTCATTTATGGAGTTAGGCAAGACTGAATTACGTTAAATCTCGCTTCTTGCATGTGCTTTATTTTATGTTGGTTTCACTTTTGTTATTTCTTTGCTTATAAATTCTTAACGAGTGGTATAAGTTTCACAGTTCGAGTTTTATGAAACTTTAAAGGAATTTGTTACTACAAATTTTGTTAGCGATATTAGAGATATGCAATAGTAATTTTAGTGCAATGACAAATACTTTTAAGTTTAAGAGGAGTAATTCTCAATCAATCCTACAATACTTCAACGAATGTTACGTAAGAATTGGAGTTGTTGAAGACTTGACGTCAGAGCTTCAACATATATTTCACTTAGGTAAGAATTGAAGTTGAAGATTTAAAGATCATTTTTAAAAGAAGATTGTTAAATATAAAATCATGTTCTAATTATAAATTAAGTTGAATTTTGTAGTAGTTTTATTGGTCGAAGATTATTTGATGATTAAGTTTATTTAGTTCTGAATTCTTATGAAATAGGGATTCTCGGTGATGAAGTATTTGACTTTATAAATAGAGATTAAATCTTAACTTTTAGAATCATGAGAGAGAATTATTTTGGATACTTGTAGTCCTTTTGTAGTCTTTACAACTTTTGAGGTTTATATCATAGAGATTAATTTTGTAGAGTTATTGGTAGAGTGATTTAGGATACTCTGGATTATGGTATAAATACCAATTTTTAGGATATATGTAATATCATGTATTTTTATCATTCGTTATATTCATGTTTATTGTAGATTATTATTCTTCTCACTCACGAAGACAGATAAGGTTAGACCATATTAAATATTGTCTTTTATACATGGTATTTTCTTTATTAATATCACATTGATTATTTTATGTTTTCGAATTCCTAATATTCATCGTTTTAGTTATCCTCTCCGTTTTATATAACAAAGAAGTGAATTTATATGTAAAGATTCGATTGAAAATTATAAAGTAGTAATTAATATGCCAAATGAGATTAAGAAAGTGGTTTTGATAATTAGCTGACGAGGATGATGACGTGTGATAAAATTTCATAATGGAAAATATAGAGATTGAATATGAGAATGGTGGGTCATTGGCTTAAGAGAAGACAACATCATATAGGAACTTGAATAAGGGATTCGTCTCCTCACGTAATTTTGTAGGCCCATTTTCAAATTTATCAAATCAATTAAGTGGCCTTACTAGCTACTTCCCTAGCTACCAAGTAAAAAAAAAAAAAAACCGAAGCAAGGTGAGTTAATAACAAAATAATATTATTGAAGATGATTATTCGAACGATGTACTCGATGAAGAGTCATAAATAGTGACACTCATGTCGTCTTATTTTGTGTAAGTTTAAATTTTAATATTTATCTTGAAAACATAATATCTCTATGTTTAATTAAAATATTTAAATTAATTCGTAATAACTTTATGATAAATCAATTTCATGAAATGGGATGGTCAGCGTTGAGCGGCCACTGTTACATTAGATTCACACCATGCCACTTTGATGATTTGACGAGCTTTCCACATCTTCACTTCCTAAAATTACATCAATGAATTATTAATTCCATTCCATGATTTTACATCCCACTACCTTAGCTTACCTTTTACAAATATATAAAATAAATCCAAACCCATAATGCCTCATGCAACCATGCTTAGTGAAATTAATAATGGCTTCTTAAAGAAGCCTCAAGTGTTTGGAGAAAAAAGTAATTATTGCTGTAAAAGCTTATTGGCTCATCAATTTGGTATTAACCCTTAAAGAAATTTTGTTATTGAAATGGAAATAAAATAATTTTTAGTTTTTAAATTTGGCATCTTTACTTGTAATTTCTTCAATACGAGGAGTTTCGAGATTATGTCACTCAAAATCATATTGTATAATTTTAATATATTATACCCCGAGGAAAAATAATAATTTATAATGATTACTAGGTAGTATTTGTTTATAATTTTTTTAGTTAATTGATAACGCACCTACATTATGTAGACTTAACTGTTCGAACCTAAGACTTCTAGAGATAACAACATTCTCTTTTGACTATTAAGATCACTTAATAGATTTAAATTAATAAAAATTTTAAATTTGACAATTAACTTGGAAAAAATATCCATATACCAAATAAATAAAATTTCTTAAAAGTGGTAAAACAATGCAAGTGAAGTGATGACCGCATATCTATGTCATGCTTCTGTCTTTCACTGTCTATTTATAAGATCCTCATACCTTGGCCTATAGGAATAGACGCAAATCTTATCTTATATAAATAAAATTATATATTTCAAGATAAAAAATGAATTATCAATATAAAATATATAAATTTTAAAATTTTGATTGTCCATCCATCACTATATCCATAATGAATGATAATAAAAGCTAGAAGGCTTTGTATCTCGTAACACACTCAAAATTCCTACCTAGTACACATGTTACAACTTAATTTTATACATTAAAACTGTATCTTTAGTTTTCATTTTATTTTGTTCCCCGATCATTATTTATAACTTCTTAAAAGCTATGATTTGTAATATTCATCGATTCATATTTATGTGAATTTGAAATTACATTTCTAAATATTATACCTATAAAACTTTAACAAATGTTAAAATGTTAATATTTTTTCTATTTTTAAATCTTGTACTTCGTTTTTTTAAAATCTAAATATTTCTTTAAAAATTAGAAATTAGGAGAATAAAATCTATATTCATTACCAACAACTAGTTGATTTAATGGGATGAGGCACTAGGTCCCTTAAGTAAGGTCAGAGGTTCGAATCTTGGCGTTTGAGAATGGAGCAAACTGGGTTGGGAGGGTCGCCTCGCCTCTACAATACTCGAATATGAGACACTAATTCTGTTAATTTTTTAACGGTGAGTGATTAAAATGAAATCAAAATGTAACGTTGAGTATGATTTTAAAATTATAATAATAATTGGGTTGTCAAAATAGAATAAAATGATAGTTGAGTTACTAAACATGAATATGTAATTCTGAAAAATTGTTGTTATAAAAAAATAAAATTCTTTTTCACAACTAAACCACGTTATGGATTTTCCATTGCTGAAATTAAAAGTTAAGGAAAAGGCCGCTCTGTTGAGTTAAGGGCGGAAAAGAAGTTGATTTGACTTTAAATTTTAATGTAATGGTTATATTTTTAGAATTATGATCAATTTAAATAATATATAAATTATAATGACTAAATTTATTAATTATCGTGTTAAATTTTGAATCGATGATTTTGTAATTTTCAATAATACAAGTGACTAGTTCATATTTTTTAGAATTGTGATCCAATTAAAAGTATCTTATAATCAATATAATAATATAAATGTAACCGATATAATAAAATAATTCAATATTAAATGATATAACTTTTTAATTTTAAAAAGCAACATACTATTTTAAAATATAATTTTATAACGAATGAGGGATTATATATTTTTTTTTGAATTGTCCTGAGTGATTATAAGACAATATCTATTCATAATCTTTCTTAATCATTGACAACTCACACACACCCTGCAAACATAGCAGCTCGAACCCAGAATTTTTAAGAAAGAACCAGCATTCTCTTTAACTACTTAGGTCATTCAATGAGTTCGGGTCATATATAATTTTTAATGAACTTTAAATATCATTACAATATTATTCTATTTATAAATTTAAAGCATGTCTTTGGCTTAACAATTGAGACATGGTGACTTTGGATTGACATTGCAGCTCCCGTAAAAGTTTTATAATGTATGTAGAAAAAGAAGTCCAATAAGCGAAGCAACGTAGAGAAATAATAAATGGAATTTTTTCAACATTCATAAATATAAATGATAAGAAAGAAACAACAGTTTTAATATAACTATTAAAGTAATTAGTTATTATTATAATAGTAAGAATAACGTGAGGTTTGTATAGGACATGAATGCATCATTAATTGACTTGCATGCGCTGGTGGATTACTAATCAAAATCATTTTTAGTGGTAGACTTAGTTTCGGCGTGATTCATGAAAGCAATTAAAGGAAAGTGATTTAACTAATCCACTTATTATTTAACTAATTTAGTTTAAATAACATAACATCGACCGCTTAAGCTACTTAAACCCCTTTTCTTCTTCCCTTTGCATTTCCTTCCAAATATGAGAATAAGAGAGAGAAATATCAGAAGTGGATCTGAGTATTGACTAAAAGATAATACATTGTTATATTTTAAAAGTAAGTTATATGAATCAGTTTGATTATAAACACTCATAATTAATCTATTTTAAATATCTAAAAATTAACCACCGACTTTACCAGAAGCTATTGTTTAAGTTGGTTCGAACATGCCTTTGTTCACTCTACAATAATTGAGTTTAAACTTAAAATGAAGTTGATTGATATTTTATTCAATTTAATATTACAACTTTTCAATTATGGTAATACTCTAATAACGCGATAAGCGACACGTAATCTACAATATTGAGAATGGAATCAATCCCTATACCTCTCGCATGCTAAGCGAGCATTCTATCATCTGAGCTACATCCCCTTCATGTCTGAATTTTGCACTGAGCTCATCTCATGGAAAGCACTGAGCTCAACTCAGGGAATCAGGAAATGGAACACTTTAAAGCTGTTTGTTGAAACGGTTGGAGTTTTCTCGAGTTTCGTGTCCCACCACTTCTTAGTTATGTTAATGTTTTGACAATTTATATTCGATGTCGTTCCTGCATCATTTAAATTTATATTCGGCATACTTAACTTAGGACTGTATTCAGTTTACTCTGGAAGCTCCATCAGTCCAAAGAAAAATCACTTGGTGATTAAGCTCCATCAGTCCTAAGGTCAATTTAATTACCAGTTCCTCTAACAGGGGAAGGTGATGAAGAGTCCCGAATTGATAATCTTCTCATTTACGTTCTTCTCTCCATATTCTAGTGTTTTCAAGTTTTAAATGCATCTTGTGGTAAAAATTTTCTCATGCCCTTTTGTAGGATTGACGATATATTTCTTCGTTACAGTTTACACAAGTGAAGGTCTTGGACAAGGAAAAGTGCAGAGCATCATTGTGGATACCCAACCTAAGTTACTCTACAAGTTTTTGGTTTCGTAAAAGCAAACTTTGTTAACAACTTTAGGCTTAGTCAAGCAACTCAACACTTTGGGGTTTAATGTTTAACCATCCCTTCTTCATCCTTAAGACTTCTTTGCCTATTTTACCTTCTTGCATAACCCCAAAAACAGTGGAGATGCGGGGTATCGATCCCCGTACCTCTCGCATGCTAAGCGAGCGCTCTACCATCTGAGCTACATCCCCTCTTTGTTTTTTTTATTGCATTTGTCTTCAAAGAAAATATGGGCTCATGGAAAGCACTAAGCTCAACTCAGGGAAAATGGAAATGGAAGACACTGGAAAGCTGTTTGTTGAGACGGTTGAAGTTTTCTTGAGTTTTAGGTCCCACCAGTTCTTTTTTTTTCCACCTGGTTCTCGGCATGGTGAGTCATAACTAGAGTCAGATATTCCGATATCATAGTCATTGGGAAACCGTGTCTGCTCGAGTTTGCTTCTTCTCCCTTTCAACTACATACTATTATAATAATGAAATACTTGCTCTTTATATTCTATGGTTTACTTAGAAGAGAGATTGTTGTAGAATTAAGGAAGGCCGCTGACTTGCAAAAAACTCCATTCTCTTAGTGGCCTGCACCAAATTTTCATCTTTCTTCATTTTCTCATCCAATTTCCTTTGATGATGGATTACAAGAAGAAGAAAAGTGACAATTCTTGGTCTCCTCCAACAACTTAGTAAAACGCACCGATAGCATTCTTAAGAAGGCCACTGACTTATCTGTGCTAACTGATACTGATATCGGACTTTTGATGTTTTCACATCAGTTTCTCTAACAAGGGAATCTGATGAAGTGTCTCTAATAGATAATAGGCTTAAATGCATCATTACCTCTTAAACTCTACTTATTCGAAAAAATTTCAAGTTCAAATCTCAGTTGGAACTCCAGACGCGTAATGCATGAACATCCAAATAGAATGGCAACAAAGGCAACGGCTAGACGTGAAAAACAGAGATAAACAGCTTCATCATTCTGCGAATAAAAATTAAACACAAATGATATACTAAACCGTATTAAAAACATAAAGGAAGTAAGAGGAAGCGGCCACGATAAAAGTGACGATAATGGCGGTCGACAACAGTAAGGGATAGGGGTGTTCAAATTTCAGTTTTAGCTGAATTAACAGATCGAAACATAGTTTTTTTCAGTTAACGAATAATATTTTTTTAAACTTCAGTTATTGATTAATTCGGTTTGAAATTAGTTAATTAACCGAATTAATCAAAATTATTTATAATATAAATTATAAATAAAATTTAATATATTATATATATTATTTATATATTACTTAGTCTTAAGGAGGGTTTAAACTTCAATTTTAACCGAATTTATTTGATTTGATTAATATTTTTTAAAAAAAAATTGATTCGGTTAACGGTTGAAAGAGAAAATCAGCTAATGAATTTTAGGTTGTTCAGTAAATTAAATGAACCGACCAATTGAACACCCCTCATAAGAGGATTAGAATTAGGGATTTGAGTTTTTTTAATCATTAAGATTTGGGGTTTATCTTTATAAAAAATATAAGTTTAAGTTTTTTAAAATAACATTTAAAAAAATTAAACTCGACACATGCCACGTTTTGAGTGATTTTTTTTATTGATCATGTACCTAAAATGATAACATTGAAAATACTAAGCACTTACCTTGAGAAAAAAATACTTTAGGCACCTAAAATGAATAAGAGGTATAAGTTAGACACTTATTTTTTAATTAAACCTTATTTATTTATTTTTAAATATACAAATATAAAATATTTTAAAATTTAAACTATGATATTAAAATTTATAATTTGAATTGTAATATAAGTGTAACTATAAAAAATTATCATATTGACTAGAATTAACTGATTTATACAAGTATCAAAATAATGCCTACTTGATTATCAAATAATACATAGTAGAGCCCAATGCAGTCACTTGTTTAAAAAGGATAGGATCATGGCATTTGAAGTGAACTATTATGGGACCAAAATATACCCTTATCGACAAAAAAAACAATAGATATAAAGCCATGGTCTAATTTACAACAATTATAAACTTATTATATCTCATGCATCATTGGCGGATGCTGTAAACATTACTGATACCACTATTAATCAACACAATACTATATATATACCCAGTATCCCTACAAACCAAATCTTTTAAACAATTCCACAGCTGAAGACAAACTAGGTTCCTTCGTGTCAAAGTGAATTTGGACTTCAAATGCCATCAATGGGGTTCTTCAGATTTCCATTAAGCAATGACATGAGACCTCCACCATGGACCCTCCCCTCCGGGATCAACAAGTCGAAGCTCTTGTTACTGACACCCCCCACGATGTCATTTCCATACCTATTCATTCCTTCATCTTGCTGCTCAGAACTCGGAAAACTTGAGTATGAGAATGATGACTTCATGGATAGTGGAACCAATACCTGTGGAGGTATGAGTTGTTTCCTTGTAATTGGCATGTTTGGTGAATCGATGCGATCAGAAATGACACTATTCCCTGAGGATGAGTGATTGTTGTTGAAGCTGCTTCCTGTGGTCGACGTTGCTGATACAAGACCATGGAAAACTCCTGGGGCAACGAGCCCTCCCTTGCTTGCCTCCCTCTCTTGGAACATGCTGCTATGAGCTGCACACAAACCGCTCCTGCCCCTTGCAAATTTCTCACATTTGCTTTCTTCCCAGGAACATCTTTTGCCCCCACCATGGGCCTTACACAAATCTGTGCTTCCTTGGGCACTCTTGCCGCAGTTCTCGAACTTGCATCGCTTTCCACCGCCATGCCTGACACAACAATCAGTGCGACCACGTGCGCTCTTTGTACAGCCTGGCACTACACACCTCTTCCCACCACCATGAGCAACACAAAAATTTGTGCCCCCATGCACACTCTTGGGACAAATGCCACCACCATTGTAGAGGCATCGCTTTCCCCCACCATGTCCTTTGCACAATGGTGTGCTCCCTTCAGCTCCTTTGGTACACCCAGCAAACATACAACGTTTTCCACCACCATGAGCCTTGCAAAACATGGTACTCCCCTGAGCACCTTTATTACATGCTGGAAACTGGCACCGACGCCCACCGCCATGAGATATGCACAGACCGGACTGTCCTTCAGCACTGCGTGTGCAACCTTCAACCTTACACCTTTTGCCCCCACCATGTTTAATGCAAAGCCCAGATTTACCTCGTGCGGCTTTTGTGCACCCTCCAAGGAACCCACATCGTCTCCCTCCACCATGTGCTATGCAAAAATCCGTCTTTCCCTCCGCACTTTTGGTGCAGCCCAAGTGCTGGCACCTCCACCCTCCACCATGAGCCTTACAGAAGACAGTACGGCTTTCAGCACCTTTATTACACCCTGCCTTTTGGCATCTTTGTCCGCCTCCATGGCCAATACAAAAACCAGTTGCTCCTCTTGCACCTTTAAAGCAACCAGAAAACTTGCATTTCTTCGAATTGCTTGTTTGGTTATCTGAAGATGTCATAGTAATGGTTTGCTCAGAGAGGGTGTCTACCGAGAAATTTGTCTGACTAGAGGGCTCACAACCTTGATGAAACTGGTGACAATGAGATTTAGCTCCAAACTGGAAAAGTTCATGTGTCTGCCCCAAATCTTTCCCACTATCCATTCTTGGAGCCAACAGGAGTGATGGCATATAGCCACCAGATTTCTTGGCCGAAGTAGAACCCTCATCAACAACAGGTAGTGATTTGTTCGAAAGAGGCATACTAACATCAGTGTCTATCGAGAAAGAACATTCCAACTGATTCGTACTTTCCTTGGACGTCCCTCCAGAAAGGCTAAGTTTTAGGATAGAGTTATCCTCAGGTGGCAAATACGGTTTGGATGAAGCTGTGGATGATTTGTTCTTGTTGAGGACAATATTGTGATAATCATCACAGCAAGCACTTGAAGTTGGACCCAACCCCAGAACCAACCTGCAGCCATAATCAGGTGCGCAAGAAAGACCAACATGAAGATCACTTTGAGCACTTCCGAATCTTGCCTTGTTGCTTCCTCCATAACCAAGAAAGTTCGGGCATAAAATGGTATCACCGAAATTACCGTTTCCCGAGAGTTCAGACAAATGAGAAAACTGTACATTCTTATTCAAATCCATAGATGCTGTGAACTATAACACTAGGGAAAAGGAGGCAGGCCAAATTTGCAGAAAATATTTAATACATGCTACTGACCAGTATAAGTATCATTAGAAAATTAGGAAATACCAGAAATTACAAAGGCATTCCTCCTCCGCTTACAAACCCTGATGTATCTGCTCGGTCCATTGTATCAAGTGTCTACAATAACAACACAGACTTCAACTATGTAAAAGGCTTAGTAATAGCTGATGTATCTGATAACATTTCTACTATAAAATCCTTTTATAAGAACATTCAAAGTAGATGCAAACGGATATATGGAGTGGCTTGTGCTCCAGGTCAACAAACAGGTCGGCTTCATTAACCCTGACAAGCAAAACAATTCCAGGAACACAATCAGGTTCAAATTAAAAAGTCATTAAAGTACATTATACTTGAGTAATAACAATTTCAATAGCATTAATTAGATACGAACATCAAAACTTAAACGAGAGGAAGTTATACATAATTAGATGGTAGATACTTAAGATTCAATATAGAAGATTCATAATTAGATGGTAAAATTTGGCGACCGGCAACAAGTTTATCAATTACAACTCAATTCCCGTATTATCTTTCAATAACTGCTTTATTAGTTCGGGGTTATTACAAAGTATTATTTGTTCAAAAATTTTATAACCAATTGACAGTAAGTGCACACACATCCTGTAGACCTAGATGCTCAAACCCGAGAATCCAATACTTCTAGAAATAACAATGGTCCCTTTTACCGGTTAATCAATTGGTTCAATAACTTGGATATGGACTCATGTAGATTGTAGACCAAGGAACATAGAACAAGGATGAAAAATAACAAAGTTAACAGAAAAACTTTTCAAAACCATTTATATCACAAGAATTGCAGCCAAAATCAAAGAAACTTTACTACACAAATAACTTAAGAACTGAACTCCAAAAACAAATGGAACCACTCAAATACAAAAGAGAAATAATAAGAAAAAAAACTCCGGGATCCATGCAAAAAAGCAATAAAAACTAGAGTAAGCTACTAAAAAATAGAAAACTGAATCAAATAGTTTGTAAAAGAAAAGAAAACCCAGATTAGTTTCAGTTCAGCCGCATAATTAACTTTCGATCATGATTAAACTATGCATAACGACCAAAGACCAAAACAAGGAAAATTCACCATATCTCCTTTGAATGATTAACATACCCTCCAAGCTCCAAAAAAAAAATAGAAATAGAAATATATCCCGAGACTCTGAGAAGCGTGAGAAGTAAAGTTGCCCGCAAAAAACAAGTTAGAAAATCAAAACAGAGAGCTAAATCAATGTAATAAAAATGAGAAACGGTGAAGTAACCGCAGTAAATAAAACGATTGAACTTGATGGAAAAGAAAAGAAAATCGTAGATATACCGTGAAGAAAGCCAAATTTAGAGCAAACTGAAGGATCTGAGACGCCGCTAATGGCATGTTGAGAAAGCTGGAGAGTCTTTAAAACAGAGAAACAAAAGTTTGGTACGAACGAAAGAAGAAGAGAACTCTAACAAAGCGTGACGAAGTCGAAGAGAGAACAAGCGGAGAAATTAGAGAAAATGAAATAAAAAGTGAGACATAAAGAGGAGATGGAGGGGGAGAATGAGATACTGAAACGTGGATCTGGTAATTCATAATATGTTGAAAAGAAATATATAATATAATATAATATAATATTAAAAACTAATACAAAACAATATTTAACGCACAGTATAAATTTATATATTAACAATAAATTATACATATCTCCGCCTTTACTTATATAAAAAATTTAAATTATTGCAATAAATTAAGTGAATATTAATTTAATTAGAAATATATTTTTTAATTTGTAATTATAAAATTAAAAAAATAATAAGTCACTGTTTAAAAATTTCTCTTTATCTGATATAAAAATTTTAAAGTACCACTTGCTAATAAAGAATTTTAAAGAAGATAGAAATCAATTGTGAAAATTTTATTAAGAATTGTGTCGTTCAACTCTATATGATATATATATTGAATATGAAATAAATATATATGTCAAATATGGTTATAAAAAATCATTTAAATTAAAATCAATTAATATCATAATATTATAAATATTTATAATTAAATTTAAATAAAAAATTAAACAATTTAATTCAAAGAAAAATAAATAAAGTTTGAGTTATTAAACAGAGTTTGTCAACTTAATTAACTCAAAAAATTTTAATTGACTCGATCGAATACTCATCTTTAAAATTTATGTTATATAATATTATTTTTAATATATTTATGTTAATAAATAGTCTAAAAATATTTATAAAAAATAAGTTAAAAATAGTATAAAATACACATGTAATGCTATACCAATTATTATACCAGTGTCTTTAAAATTTTACTTTTTTCAATATTTTAATTTTTAAAAAATAATGATTAGACTCTTCCTAAAAAATACTAATAAATTTAATTAAAAAATAAGGATTAATGACAAAGTAAAAGATTAATTCATCGCTATGCAATTAATTGAATAAATTCCATGGATTCGATGGGTTAAATTAATAATGATTGCTACGTTTTGTGGGAAGCTCTAAATGGAAGTATGATAAATCCATTTTTAATCTTAAATATAAACATTATTTTATTGTTAGCAATTTTTACAAACAATTACACATCCGTGGCCCTCTCACGTGTTGACAACTTTTTGGTACGTCATATGTGTTGGCCACCGTCCAACTTTTAAATAATAATAATTTTTAATTTAAATTATTTAATTTATGAACTTATGGAAGGCACATTGAGGGTACTCAAATAACATATTAATATTACTATTTTTAATCCCGTTCACAAATCAAAATATCTTAATGATTACAAGATTTGTTGTTATCTCTTAAAGTTTTAAATTTAAGAATCATATATACCAGGGGCATGAATATCTTTTGTTAAATGATTTAAAATTTTTAAATATATATTACATTGTATTTATCCTAGAATTATTAGAAAAATTAAATTAATTAAAGTTATTAGTTAGTTAAAATAAATTTCTTTATTAATATAAATATTAATAAAAATAATATTAATTTGTATTTCTATATCATTTTTAAATAAATTATTAAAGTCAATGAGGTATTGACACATTTAAAGTAGTTAGATTGTAATTCGAGGTAAGCGATCACAAAAATAATAATCCTGTGGCCTCTTGGAAGATGTTTGGAGGCAAAACTGACATTAGAAATTTGAGTAAATTATCTATTTAATCATCCTTTTATTATTAAGTTTTTTTCTTTGATTACTTAATTATTTTTTAAATTATATTTTATTTAAAAAAATTAAAAATATCATATCAATATTATCGTTAATTTTTTAACAATGAGTGACTAAAACATAATCAAATCCTAACATTACATATGATTTTAAAGAAAAATAATAGTTAAATACCTAAATAAAAATTAAATAATAAGTCGGTGACCATATAGATAATTTACCCTTAAAAAATATGGTTCCCCGTGAGCCGTAACATCTCTCCGCGTTACATTATATTATTAGGGTTTAGGGTTTTATTTTTAAAAAATCAATTGGCTGATTCCAACTCCAAGTCAAGTTGAAGAATATTCAAAATCCAAGGGATGACGTGGACAGCTTTGTGGCCTTCATTTAGTTAGCAACGTCAGGGCATCGCCAATGCTTCTCCACAATTGGAGAATATCTCCACTGTAGAGTAAAAATCCCGTCCAACCCATGGCCACAATCAGCGCTACAGTGGAGATGCGCTACAGTCCGCGTCACATCTTGCGTGGTACATGCGCTATAATTTTAAAATAAATGGTTGTTCTTTGTTCTCGTATGTAATGAGGTAAGATAGTAGGTTGCCCCCAACACTAGGTTGAGAGTAACTTCCGTAAGAGACCTCCAAATTATGAAATGCCCTCCATAAGACTCGATCCCACGACCTCAAAATTAAGAACATTATACTCTACCAACTGAGCTGGAGTAAAAATCAATGCGCTATAATTTTCTGTTTTTTAATTCAAATAAATTAAATTAAAAGATAGATGAAAATACATTGAAATTATATATATAAACATACTAATTTTTTTGTAATTTTTATGATTTTTTGTATTTTTTCTGATTTTTTTAAATTCAAGTAGATTAATTTGCAAGATAAATAAAAATACATTGAAATTAGATAAATAAACATACTAATTTTTTGTAATTTTTATGATTTTTTGTATTTTTTCTGATTTTTTTAAATTCAAATAGATATTTATTAGAAATGTATATGTTTTATTTTATATTTACAAAATCAATATTATAATAATTAAATATTATGAATAAAGTAGAGTTTGTGATAATGTAAAGATAATGTTGGAGATGAATTATTGTTTCATCTCTATAATAGAGATAGAAATGCGCTAAAGTAAAGATAAACATTGAGAGATGACCAGTAGGCAATTGTTTTTCATCTCATTTTAAATAATCATCTTTGATTAATTTCTAATCATCTTTTTGACAACCACGCATTTATCATCATCGTCATTTTTTATATTCAATCCGTTGTTTTGAGTTAAACATCACATTATTAACAAAACAAACTCCGCAAATAAGGTACCATTTGGTTTAATGGCAAATTTGATGTTGTATTATGAATTTTGAAATATTAAGTTCATGTTTTTTACCATATATGAATATTATGCGTCGATATATTTCGATTATCAATCTAATCATACATTATAATCTTAAAGAATTTAAATTCAGCTTTACATTAATAAAAATATACTTTATTCAACCCATTAAATTTGTTTTCTATTGATTTATTTTTGTCAATTTTTTTAATTTTTACTCATTATTATTTAAAATTTGTTATTTAAAAAATTAAATCAAGTGATTTTTAAATACATATTGTATGTAACACCCCAATTTAGGGGCTAAAATTAAGAAATTATAAAGTGGTGAATTTAATTAGTATTTTTGGAAGAAATTGGGGATTAAATTGTAAAATCGTAAAGTTGACATACCATTTTAAGAAGTGCAGAAAGTTCAGTGACTAAATTTATAATTTAGTCATTTTCCTTTATGAGAGAATTTATAACCTGTCTCCCGTGCTGCAGAATTTATTTTTCCAGTTTTTTTCTTCCATTGACCCAACTTTCAACTTCGATCGACTCGTCGTCCGACCTTCGATCGATAAGCCGAAACCACCATCGTGTTCGTTGTCAACCAAAGAACAAAACCCCTCAAACCCTTTGTCGAGAATCGTATCCGTTCGTCGTTAATTTCAGTCGGAAGTATCGTCGGTAATAACTTAATTTCAATTGTTTTTCGTCGATTCACGACGATCCGAGCATCCGTTTACGACACCTCCTGCACCATCGTGTTCCTTGCATCGTTCTGAGTCTGCCGGTGTCATCCTTGGTCTCCGTCGACGGCGGCACGTGAGGAGGTGAAGCTGTCAAAGTTTCCGATTCTTTGAAATCGAGCTCTCCGCCGTTCAAAAATTTGAACCGAGCTTTGTAAGTATCTCGAAATCGCTTAAAATAATTTTTAGGAATTTTTCCGGGAATTTAGCAATGTTCACGCTCGGCCACTGCGCGTGGGGAAGAAAAAATGACCTGGTTTGCTCTTGTTTTAACCGGTCATAACCCGACCCGACCAGTTGACCGGTGTTGACCACTGTTGACCAAAACTTTAACCGGCTTTGACCGAACATTAAACGACATTTGATTTTGACCGAGTATACCTATCTTGACATTTTTCGAAATTCAGACCCGAAGGCCTCGATATTGGCAATCAAACCCGTTGACTTTGATTTTGACCGAAAATTCCAAATTTTTGAAAAGTCATATTTTATGCTTTCGACGTCCTGAATCCGAAGTCCGTTTCGCCAAATTTAAAACCCGTAAGCTGTTTTTCACTTATTTATCACCCGATTCGATCCGTTTATCGTAATTAAGCTCCGTTTTTTTTTATGTAATTTCTATTGATATGCATCCGAGGGAAATATTGGAAGTTGAATTAAAGATCAAAGGCGTTCGAATGGAATTTATATGGTCGATCAGTATGGCACGAAAATCGAGATAATACTTTACTACCTCTTTATGCTTTATGGAACATGTTTATATTGATAAATGCATGAACAAGATAATGTTGGTCACTTTGGTGGAGTTGAATAATTTATACACTCGATATGATGTGGTAGAAATTCTGTAACTAATTACAGATCGAATGACTAATATAAGAGATTGAGGAATTGTTAGATTAAATTGCAAGTTTGTGATTAGTGATAAAGAAATCAGCCATGTATCTGCAACTTATAATTTATTTCATCAAAGGTTAAATGTTAAAGGTACTTGGATGAGAAATTATGAGAATACTTCGGTAGGGTAAAATTATGAAAATACCCTTGTGTTATAAAAAGATAAGATTTGAATATGGAAGTTAGATAAGAGGATTTTACAGACATATTGATTTGATAAAAATATTGATGTGCATAAAAAATGTTAGTTTCATTTGGAAATTATGGATAACAGGTTTTAATCTTAGGAGAGTTTGTGAAGGATACTAGAAGTCTGTTAAGAGAACCGTTTCAAGATCAGAGAGTGTTCAAGAAAGCAATTAATCATAGGATCTCTAAATTATATTATTTTCGTTAAGAGCTAATATCGAAATTATTTGGTTAAGAAATTACGGAAATGCCCTTAAGAGGTAGAATAGTATAAGTTGACTTTGAATGAGAAAATACTTAGAAGATTCGTACTTAACTCGATTAAGTACGGATTTAATTGTTAAGATCCCGACTTAGTTCAGGAAAATTCCTGATATTCCGTTTGTAAAATCTGAGAAGACACTTGACCCAGAAATATCCGAGTTATGAGTAAATACCTGAAGAATAATTTGTCGGGGTGTTCTGTTGTCATAATTGTTCGAAAGGACGGAAATAAATGGTAAGATTGAATTTAATAGTAAGATCGGATGAAAGGAAATGATTGAAATACGCTAAATCTGTAAAATGACCAAAATACCCCTGTAATGGAAATGACCCAATAATACCACCAAGCTCAAGAATGATTGGATATCTTCGAGCTCTGAAATAAATGGAATAAAAATGAACACCAAAATTACCAAAATACCCTTGAGTCATATTGTAAGTAAATGCCTTGGATTAATTAAGGAAACCAAATAAGCATAGGTATTGGACTACCTTTAAAAAGTTATGGAACACAACTTAAGTAAGTTGATCAACTTTAATGATATGTCAGTACCTGAACGGCATAGATATTACTTGAATGCGTGTTTGTCTACTCAAATTTAGCTCAATGATAATTTTGGAAGTATTCAGCTCAGCTCAACTCTAGCTCGTATTCAGTAGTAAGAATTTGATATTTGTTAGACAAATCAACCACGAAGACCAAATTGAATTGAACGGAAGTACAATATGTATCCGAAATTCATAAACGTCTAGATTACCCTAGAAAACCCTAAAATATCTGGAATAGACTTGACTGCTAAATAAATCAAGTAACCTCAAGGACTAAGGATTAAGTTAGTGATTTGGATGAGTCTGGAAACGTTAATGAACATACATGATGTAATATTCTTATGGATCATGAACTACAAATCAAACACATCAGCATTTCATGATATAGTGAAAGCGTGAACATGAAATAAAGACATTGGAAGATTTATTTATCGATGATTCCGAATATGATATATGGACTAGAAATTATGGTAGTAAAGAGTAAATTTCCTGGAAGAACGATGAATTGACCAATCGATAAGCATTAGTTCTAGGAACTATTCATCTAAGAGTTGTTCGATAATCAGATCAAACGACATATTTTGTATAAAGATTTATGAACACTTTCCTGATGCACATGAATCATATCGGAATTCTAAAGTATCAACCTTAAATGTCGGATTAGATTGGTTAGCAATCGATTCCCTTCAATAGGACCTCATTTTTAGAATATGATCAAATTACATCAGTTTCATGTTATTCATTCTGATAACTACTAAGTGTCTCTGAGAAATACTTGGATATCCTAGTGTGTTCCACATGTACCACATGACGATTTTAAATGTTTTTAAATGAGTTTCACCGAAACTATTGATTTACTGGTTTATGAACCATGACAACATGTTATATGTTTTCCGATTACGGGTTTTACCGAAAATATGAATTATTCCTGATTTATGACATCATGGAATCTATTGGTTTTATGAACTATGTTTACTTGAATTATGTTATCGGGTTTCCTATTTTCATTGGAAAATACGATCTTGATAAATCACGTACTGAATATTTTTATGAGACAATACCCGATGTTCTGAATACATTTTATTTTGATATCTGATTTACCACATATTTTGATATGGTTTCTGGTTACGGTATTTTTGTACATGATTTCTAAATATGGATTAATTACTGTTACAGTTCCCCTAGGTCCATTTGCTGTGTGCAAGGGTAAGCCTTACATTTCCCCCAGGTCCCTTTGCTGTGTGCAAGGGTAAGCCTTACAGTTCCCCCAGGTCCCTTTGCTGTGTGCAAGGATAAGCCTTACAGTTTCCCAGGTTCCTTTGCTGTGTGCAATGGTAAGCCTTACAGTTTCCCCAGGCTCTTTTACTATGTGCAAGTATAAGACCTTATCGTTTTTACATGCTCCTCTGCTTTGTGCACAGGGTAAATATGTTTTAAACTTCTACTGTTTTAAAAGATATGTATCTTTTCACTGGTTTTAGGGGAACACACTAGATAACCTATTCTGATCTCCTGAACTCAGTCATCCGAAATATTTCTCTGAACTGAAAGCTCATTGTCAGTTACCACCTGAAATGTTAGTAGGATATCTGCTCAGCATAAAAATCTGTAGATATCTGAACCAATAAAGAAATGTATGTTTATTTGTATCTGCACGTTCTTCAGCATCATCTGGTAGTTTTGTATTACTGAGCTTTCCGAAGCTCACTCTATTACTCAACATTGCAGGTTAAAAGAATTGTACCAGTGCAACTATCGTCATCGGTATGGGAGTTCTTCCGGCGTTAATTTCAGAGAATGATACATGTGATTAGGGGACATGTATTTTGTTTTATATATGAGTCTGGAAATCTGTTTTATTTTTAAATAGTGACAAATGATTTTATAAGCTTACATGTTCTGATAAAAAGTTTTAAATTTTCCGCTATTTTTACAGTGGGTCGCTCCGGTGACCCTAATATGACAACCCAGATTGGATCGGATTATCCGCATCGGTCTGGGGGGTTACATTGTAAAATATAATTGTTTTAAATATTTAAAATAATCATGATTAAAGGTTTAAAATTTAGCTTCTAAGAAGTCAATAAAAGACACATTTAATGGGAGAGATGAAGTACATAATATATTAAAATAATATACCTACGTGAACGTGTTAAATTTATATAAATTTATATAGTTAGATGCTTTCATTTTCCTCAATCCTTGTACAGTGGGATAGAAACTATTATGTTTTGTTACTTCTAACATCATCTACTTAGCTCAAAAATTGAGCTCGAGTCAGGGATATCCCTTTATTAAACTTGGAAGTATAACTTATGAATTTGGTACAATTATTCATTAAAGAGTCAAGTTTTCTCTTATTTTCGTTTTAAAGACGTGTAAAACTTTTCTTTTAGTGTAGTCACTAATCTTCCATAATCTAAATGAGTAAATTCTATGAATTAATATTTCGTCAAATAATTCAAATTTAGTCTCATAACACATAGAAATTACCCAATTAATCTTAGAAATAATCTTATTTATCAATTTAATCATCGATAAAATTTTGAGGCGTTACATAATTAAACATACAAGGTAAACTTATATAACTTAATGTGGGAGTTTTAACCATGAATACTATTGGATGACATTTTTATGACCATGATTTAACTTATATAACTTAATGTGGGAGATTTAATCATGATAACGTTAGGCACTTACATTAATTGAAAAAATATAATTTAAACCTTTTTTATATTAAGCTAAATATTTATTAAGATGGAAATATGTCACACTCTAGGTTGACTTGGACTATTCCTATCACCAAAGTAATCTGAAAGCCCATTGGCGAAGATTGAGACGTAAGCTAGGATCAATATTTATTAAGATGGAAATATGTCACACTCTAGGTTGACTCGGACTATTCCTATCACCAAAGTAATCTGAAAGCCCATTGGCGAAGATTGAGACGTAAGCTAGGATCAATATTTATATTAGATAATATTTTCTAGGTAAACTACATATTTAATCATTCAACTACAACTATAGTTTCATTTTGATCACCTAACTATTTGTTTTTTTTAAATCATCACAAATGTTATGTTTTGGTTTCATTTCCGTCATCCGTCGTTAAAAAATTAATGGTGATGCTAATATGTCATCATAAGATAATGTAACGTCATTATTGAAAATGATATATCAACAATTTTGTTAATTTTTTAACGGTGTCGGGCCAAAATGAAAATAAAACATAACATTAGTAATATTTTTCAAAAAATAACTAGATAACCAAAATAAAATATAATTGACAATTGAGTGATTAAATATGTAATTTGTCCTAGTTTTTATAACAAATGAAGAGAATGTTATTAAAGGAAAAAGTAATGATAAAAAAATGGTCGGGGCCAATTAGCTGTATGGAAGTTGGAACCGTGCGTCTTTGACCTGCTAGTTTATTCGCTAATAGATACAGTCAAATACTTAAATATTTATATGGTTTTATTTTAATAATTTAACTATTTTTTCAAAATTGAATTTAAAATTATATTTTTGTTTTGTATTAATCACTTGATATTAAAAAATAAATAGAATTGTTGATCTGAAATTTTTTATTTTTTAAATAATAATGTGATATTATTTTATAACGACGTGTATCATCGTTAATTTTTTATCAAAGAACCACTAAAATTAAACCAGTATATATATATTTTAAAATAAATAATTGAATGACTAAATACTTATTTTAGATTAATATTTTGTTTACCTTATATTGTAATTAATTCCTTCCAAAAAGCACGTTCGGTGACTATAAGGGAGAGCTACTTTGACTTGGCCAACAATATTATTAGAAAAGAGGCCCATACATACTTCTTTCTCCTTAACCAGACACGAATTTTCTCTCCATTTTGCCAGGAAAATAAAACCATAATCACGTGCTGGATGGCATTGTGAGAGACAAAGGAAGGAAGAACGAAAAGCATGCGAGTGATTCTCGATGTCTGTTTTTGGCCGGTTTGATGGATTCACGATTACTCGTGTGGAAGGTTGATAATGATTTGAGTGGAACTTAGCTCTTTAAATCAAAATTATCCGAAAACAAAAGAAAGGGGAAAAATGATGGAGCTAGCTGTCCCTGTTTGTTTGTGGTTGATTTTGGTGTTGGATTTGGTTTCCAGAGTTGCGGGGAATGCGGAAGGTTCTTGATAATTTTTTCTTTCTTTATTTATTTATTATTGAACTTGTGAAATTCGAATTATTATTTTAGGGAACTTAAAGGATTCAAATTGCAAGAGTTTAGTAGCTATGGATTGGTTTACTTGTAGCTTAAGGTTGACTGCTGTTTTTAAATTTTAATTAGCGTCGTTGCACTAGTTGACTTGACTGTAGGGATACTTGCTCGCTTCGTAATGATGAATTTATGCGAAAATTTTGGATATCATTTGTGTTTAATTCTGCGAAAATCAATGCTTTTTCTTAATCAATGTCCGAAGTCTAGATAGCTTTATGTTCATCGAGATAGTCTTTCAAGTTATGATGGAATTTTGGACCATTCAATTGGAGTTTTCCGTTTATGTAATGAAATAAATGTTCTTTACCCCATTTCCTTTTGGTAGTCCCCCTACGTCGCAAACTAAGAACCACACATCTCTTATTTGCTAGCAGTGACATTAATTATTGAAGCCTTGATAGTTATTTTCAATAAATATATGCTGGTTACTGAAGTCTTAGACTGTAGTTTTGTTATCATTGATAATATGTTGCCTGGTTTTGGTGTTAAACAGGTGATGCTTTGAATGCATTGAAGACCAATTTGGCTGACCCTAATAACGTGTTGCAAAGTTGGGATGCAACCCTTGTTAATCCTTGCACATGGTTTCATGTTACTTGTAATAATGAAAATAGTGTGACAAGAATGTAAGTTGTATGTTTGACTATTTCAATTGGTGTTACTTGAGTTTGTAGGTTGATGTGAGAAATGCTTTTCCTTTTGCAATTCAGTGATCTTGGGAATGCAAATTTATCCGGTCAATTTCAGACCTGGTGTTTTTGTAGGTTGATGTGATAAATGCTTTTCCTTTTGTCGGTTTCAGTGATCTTGGGAATGCAAATCTATCCGGTCAATTGGTTGCACAGCTTGGGCTGCTCCCAAATTTGCAGTATTTGTAAGTTGACAATTTCAGTCCTGGTGATTATGTTCTGCCCTACATTGCTAGAATTGTTTTGAGCAGTAAAGGATAAATAAATGGAGGAAAAACAGAAAACCAGCAGCTTTGATAAATAGTAAATTGATTGATTTAGCCATCTTTTATATTCTTTTACATGATTTTGTTTTAATAGATGACTTGATGTGTTTCATACAGAATCCTTTTTCTTTCAGAACTATGAAAAACTGAATAAATAAGGAATATAAGTTTCTAGAATGCGTAGTTAAACTTGGTGAAATTCCAGCACCTCATTTTTGAAAAATGTAGACATAGTTGTGATAGCGGATTTTTTGTGCTTTTGTCACTAGGCACTGTCTTTTATTTGTTATTCTAGCACTCCATTGAATTTTGTTGTAGATTCATACTCATACAAAGATACCTAGTAATCTAACTCGATCTTTTCACGACAGGGAGCTTTATGCTAATGACATATCTGGGACAATCCCAGAGGACCTTGGGAATTTAACGAACTTGGTGAGCTTGGATCTTTACTCAAATGCTTTAACTGGTGGCATTCCAACTACTTTGGGCAAGCTTACAAAACTGCGTTTCCTGTATGAGCACATTTTTCATTTTTATGTTATTTGGTTTCACTGAGCTTTTGCTTTCTTGTCATGTTTCTTTTGTATTCCTGAAGGCTTTTATGCATTGTGATATATTGCTAGTAGAACTGAATAGGTAAATGGTTTTATTAGAGAAATGAATGTGCATAGACTTAGCTAATACTCATTGAATGAGGATTCCTAAAATCAATTAAGAACCTAGAATCACCGGTGGCACTTTCCTTGAACTAGATAATTATACTTGAAGAGATCTTCTTGCTTGTTGAAAAATCCATATGTAGCTATGTGAATCCAAAATTATAAGTTTAGCTAGCAAATTTATAAATGGGAAATCATGGTACCAAAGACTAGCTAATGTCCAAAATATGAGATCCTTTCTACTGTGTTTGTTCGCGTTAACTCCCAAGTTCTGTTCTGTTTTTCTTTCTTCTTTTCTTCATTCATGATCTTGTTTTCACAACTAGACTGATTGGTCATCAAGTGTAATTACCAAGGAGAGATATTTTTGCTTAGTGAATTCTAGGTGATGACATTGTAGCTCCTTCACATGGGGAATATGTGAGGATCTGTTTTAATACTGTGCGGAGACTTAAACGTATACTTGTGAGGTGCCTTTTCTAGACAAAGGCATAAGACCTTATGGATCCAAGTGAATAATACGTAGCAGGTTAGATGCGGGGCTTTGCAGATGTAGTTGGTCTCAGCACATACGATAGCCAGTTGTGAGCTTTAACACCATTCTCTTTGAAATTTGTTCTGTGGAGTGGGCCTTGATGGCCGTTCGACTTGTGATCCTGATAAGGATATCAGGAAATGAGTGGGTGGGATTGTGATACTCTTCCCTCATCTGATGTGAATGTGATTGTTAGGATCCATGCAAGGGTCCTCGTATACAGTTAGAAGCATCTGGAATTTAAGTTTTTAGGGCCTGTGTTGGTGTGATATGGGCCATATAGAAATAGTTTCTCTGCTTCAGTTGGCTATTCTTTTTTCTTATATCTGTGCTCTAATTATTTGCTGAGCATATTTTTCTATGAATACAAAATTAGTCATCTTATAAATGTGCAGTATTATTCATGTTTTCTTTATGTGGAACAGACGTCTCAACAACAACACGTTGACAGGTCAAATTCCTAGGTCCTTAACTGCTGTTATGTCCCTGCAAGTGCTGTGAGTGTTGCTATCAGAATTCTTTCTTCTTTTTTTCACATTAACTGTTATACCTTATCTTAATATTTATCATCTAATGCAGGGATCTTTCATTCAATAAGCTAGTAGGAGATATTCCAATTAATGGTTCTTTTTCACTGTTCACTCCTATCAGGTTTTTTCTTTTATGCTATCAGCATCTTACCCTCAACTCCTGACCTTCATCACCACTACTCGCTTCCATTTTTTCATGTATAATACTCTTAGTCTAGTCTCTTAAGTTGCAGCACCTCTTTTTTCACAGTTTTACTAATAATTCACTCAATAATCCTCCTCCTGCTCCACCGCCTCCTATCCCACCTCCAGCTTCAACTTCATCAGGTTTGGTTCTGATTTTATTCTTATTATGACTGCAAATAACACTAAATTGTGCCCAACGCTTAGGCCTTCTTCTTATTTATTCCTTTTTTTTTTCTTGAGATATTGCAATTTTCTTTGCATATGCAACTATTTTGGTGTTACCACATGTATGTAACATGCAAAGAAATGCTGTAGGTCTGTTTTTAAAGAAGATACCTTTGAGCCCAGAATTCGGATCTAATATAGTACCTATCAGTGGCTTTAGTTTCATTAGCTGGTTTGAACATTGTCTGTACCATAAATGTTGCCTGCTGCTTTGGTGTTTTTGCCAGCTGGAAATGTTAATAGTTGAAAATATTCATGATTCAGGTGTAGTAGAAGTGTTTATATTAATCTTAGTTTGTGCTGGTAGGTAATACTGCCACTGGTCCTATAGCTGGAGGAGTTGCTGTTGGCGCTGCCCTGCTGTTTGCTGTTCCTGCAATTGTTATTGCTTGGTGTCGTAAAAGAAAACCACTGGATCCTTTCTTTGATGTACCTGGTTAGTGATTTTTCAAAAGATAGTTTTAATTACTATTCTGTTGCATTCATGTATTTTCACTTCTTTTAAAAAAACTTCTTTATAGCTGAGGAGGACCCAGAAGTTCATTTGGGACAACTTAAAAGATTTTCTCTACGTGAACTACAAGTGGCAACGGATTATTTTAGCAACAAACACATTCTGGGTAAAGGTGGTTTCGGTAAAGTTTATAAAGGACGCTTAGCTGATGGTTCTCTAGTGGCGGTGAAAAGATTGAAAGAGGAGCGTACTCAAGGTGGAGAGCTGCAGTTCCAAACAGAGGTAGAACTAATAAGCATGGCTGTGCATCGGAATCTGCTTAGACTGCGTGGCTTTTGCATGACCCCTACCGAACGGCTTCTAGTCTATCCCTACATGGTTAATGGTAGTGTCGCATCCTGTTTAAGAGGTATTTTGTTGTTCTCTGCTTGCTTTTCTATTTAGTCATATATTTTTTGTTTCTTCAATTCCATCCTATCTTTGTTTTATATATGTTCTGGTTACCAATTTACTTTTTAAGGCCATTATTTAAGCTTGTATCAGTATCTGATATGTTGCCTTTTCAATTTTAGAAGAAAATTTAGACCAGCTGGTCGTGTATCCTTAACTTGTTTCAAAATATTCCGACTTTCTTTTGATACATATGTTTGGTAAATGTGAGTTGTCTTTAAATCCAAGTATAGTTTTGAGAGATTCATAGAATCCAATACGTTGTGAGTTCTTATTATTACAATGTGTCATCTGTTTATCTGATTCTAGAGCGTTCGGAATCTCAAAAACCACTTGATTGGGATATAAGGAAACGGATTTCTCTTGGAGCTGCAAGGGGGCTTGCATATTTACACGATCATTGCGACCCGAAGATTATACATCGTGACGTGAAGGCCGCAAATATATTGTTGGATGAGGAATTTGAAGCAGTTGTTGGAGACTTCGGGCTGGCAAAACTAATGGACTACAAAGATACTCATGTCACAACTGCTGTTCGTGGCACAATTGGTCATATACCTCCTGAATACCTATCAACAGGAAAGTCATCAGAAAAAACTGACGTTTTCGGTTATGGTGTTATGCTTCTTGAACTCATTACAGGACAGAGGGCTTTTGATCTTGCTCGACTTGCAAATGATGATGATGTCATGTTGCTTGATTGGGTATGTATTATCTTCCTATTATGTATATCTCAATGGTGATGCATTTCAAAGTTCGAGTTTTGTCATTCTTGTCTAGTGTAGGAACTATCCGATTCTTATTTCACTTGGTTGGCCAAGAGCAATACACTCAGTACAGTATTGCAGAAATTCCAGAGCTGAAGCTCAACTTTATTTTCCTTGTAAGGTGAAAATGGAAAAGCAAATACACTTGAATCAAAACGAAATCCTATATACTTCTGTTAAGCTTGACCTTGATCTGTGCTGCCTGATATCCGGTGCCCATATTCACATATTTGTCAAATGAATTCAAATAAAGCTTGGCACTGGTACAAGCATTTTTTGTTTTACTTTTTAGATTCAACTTAATAACAATGCTCACATTTCACAGGTAAAAGGGCTTCTGACAGACAGGAAGTTGGAAACACTGGTTGATTCTGATCTGGATGGTAATTACATAGACGCCGAAGTGGAAGAGCTAATCCAGGTGGCTCTTTTATGCACTCAAGCCTCCCCGATGGAACGACCGAAGATGGCCGAAGTGGTCAGAATGCTGGAGGGTGACGGCTTGGCTCAAAGATGGGAGGAGTGGCAGAAAGAAGAAATGGTCCGCCAAGAGTTTAACCAAATCCACCACCCGAATGCAAACTGGATTATCGCCGACTCCACTTCTCACATCCCTCCAGATGAACTGTCTGGTCCTAGATGACCACTTCTGCAAATAGTGCAAGTCTTTCAGCTGAGCTGGTTTTGCATTTTAGGGTCGCACTCGCACAAGGTTCGAATTTGTGCATATAGTGAGTGTCTCATTGTCCTGTTTTCATTTAGTGTTCTCATTTTGGTCCCATTGATACTGCTGTAATTTAGGTTATTACATGTTCGATTCCTGTAATTGTTATAGGGAATTAGGAATGCCAACTGCAGCAAAGAAACACTAGTTACTAGAGAAAAACAGGGCAGGATGGGTGATAGTAGCAGCCATGTTTTGATATACTAACTAGTTTTTTCGTAGTAAAGAAATTGATGTTCTCCTTAAAATATTTGAATTCGAATAATTACGTCTGCAGAGTATACGTACATTATCAATGACTGAAAAAGATTCCGAAAAGATGTTATCTTATCATCACTCCATACTATTTAAAAACAATGCAGTTGCAACTAGGGATGTATTTGGTTTGATTCGGCTCGGCTTTTTTATAAAAGATGAATTGAATATCACTATGCTATTTTTCTAAAAATGATACTGAAATCGAATGACATAAAAATTGTAATTTTTGATTCGGTTATACATTTTTTAGCTATTTATTATTTCTCAAACTCAACGTCCAAAAAACTAAACTTCAACCTTAAATCAAATATAAACACTCACGTTTAAATTCACAAAAATAATATTATTAGTTTTAGGGTTTTGTTTATTTAAGTTTTTCTTATAACAAATTCAACATTGATTTATTTAAATAATTATTCTTTTTCTTTTTAAATTCGGTTTGATTTAGAATAGACGGTTTCGTATTTAAAAAAATCAAAATCGAACTTAATTGTAAAATTATATGTCAAAATATAATCGAAATAAATCGTAAAATAAAAAATTTGAATCAAATTAAATTACATAATACAGTTTAAACCTGTTTTTCGATTTGCTCAATTTCATTATTCAGTCCTAATTGCCGCCCTTAAAAATGATCCCATTCAGAACCAACGTTTTCGACCCTCTTTGCTTTTCTTACACTTTTTGCTTCAATAATTAATTACTATTTTTTCAATAAATTGTAATAATTTATTGGTTATTGATTCATTGGATTGTTTAGTAGTGGTCAACCTAATTGACTTATCTGGAAGGATACCTGCACGTTTCGTATTGACAAATTTTGCCAAAACTTTAGATATCAGTAATGTTTAGGATTATTTTCGGGATTAACATCCGTTTCAAAGATTAATATTTTTTGTACCATGCAAAAATAAAGATATGTTATATCAAATATACTTTCGAAAGCACATTATATAAATCACGTCTTTTACTTACATGACGCCATAGTTACACGAATTTAATGGGTAAGTTTTTCAACAGAAATTTTCAACAACAAAGTATTGAACTCAAAATCTGCTTAAACAATATCAAGTTGCTTCAAAAATTTAAGCATACCCGTATTGAACATATGCTTATTTCCATATTCTTCTCCAAGTCTCATTACAAACTTCTTTCTACAACTATAGTGTGCATTTACTAAACAATACAAGTTCAGCGTATAAACTGTTGATAATTGCTAGGTTGAATCAAATTTTTATTTAATTACTTGCTAGATCAATTTATATTCTCCCGGCCTTCCACATCAAACAGGTTTAAGAAAGTTTCCATGTTTATAAACTCAACATCATACAAAATACTTTCACTGAACATGAAAAATGTGAAACCATCATAATAACGTATTGACTAAAACAAATTTGTGAGCATCATCCACTGGGAAACACTCAATGACATACCTTGAAAGCCGTTCTAGGAGACTCTGATCAGAACTTTTCAAAGCACGATTGTATACTATCTCGATCCTTTTGGCCACGTCATTCCAATTATAGAGTCTCTTCATCTTTGGCCAAAAAAATTAAAATGAAAACAGAAATATGCATTTGTCCACCTCACACATGATCGTGCATAACCTGCGGATCAATATTAGGAAGGATAGATATTGCCTTCCTAATTGCATGTACCATGTCACTTGGATCTGGTTCAGCAAGTACTATCATGTCATCTGGTAAAACCTATAACAAATAAATGGAAAATTATAGGATAAATAAATTTCTATCCTTTTATGTGCTAAAGTATAAACCAACTTGGTATGTCCATGTTAATGAGAGTTTGAAATACATGCCTCCGGAACACCTCCTACTCGTGTACTGACAGTAAACAGTCCACAACTTGCAGCCTCCAATATGGCTATGCAGAAAGCTTCAGTTAAAGAACTGTGAAAAGGAAGAGCAAGAATAACATAAAAAATCAGAGAAGTGACGTTTACACTTTATTACAAAATGATCAACGAATGCTAACTTGTCCTCTTTCGTATATTATTTTCCCCTCATTTCTTTGCTCGTCTGGTTGCATAAAGAATTAATAAACTAAAAATGGTGGTCTATAGGACCCAAACTCAATTTACCTGTTTAAGAATATGTGGCCAGAAATCAGCACAGATCTTACAGAAGCATGTGGTACAGCCCCCAACATCTCTACTCGATCTTGAAGAGAATGTTTTTCTCTCATCTCTTCCAACCGCACTCGTTTAGGTCCATCTCCACCAACAATGAAACGAACCTAAACATGATTCAAAAATGAGAAAATTGAACTCCAAATAAAAAGAGATACAAAATTATAACATTTTACAATCATATTTTCAACTAAATCCCAGCTCTTCATCCAAATGAGGAAATATTTGATCAATGGGAATATAATACCAAAAAGTCAACTAAAAATTAAAACACGTCAATGGATCACCCATAGTAAGTGTAGCAGAATGTCTTGATGCATGAGTTCGAGTGTGGAAGATTGTGCATGTGCAAGGAGCAACATAGAGTTGGCTATTTCTTAGCACTGTAACCGCGAAATCATCATAATTATTAGAAGCTGTAATAAACTCACATTAACTATAGAAAACAAACCAAAAGAATGGATTACTGAATTATTTTTTATAAGTGTTTAATTTAGTTAATATTTTATTTTTAAATTACTCTTTAATCATTGATTTTTGTTGTTTATTTGTTCATTTTAATTCATTTTCTGTACATGACGTAATATTATGAAAATTGCACAAAAAGGACACAATTCTGCAGATTTTTTATTTTCGGAATCAAAGCTGACTGGAATTCAGATTTGGATTAAACTCAAATTTAGGATAATATTTTAAACATTATATTTTATCTTTGTATTTTAGTTTAAATAGGTTTTTAGTATTTTAATTAAGTTTTAGGATATTATTTTTATATTTTATCTTTATCTTTGTATTTTAGTTTAAATAGATTTTAGTATTTTAATTAGGATTTAGAATATTATATTTATTTTTTAGGTATTTTAGTTTAAATAATTTTAACTGTTTTAATTAGGATTTAAGATGTTTTAGCTTGTTTTTAGGATTTTAAAGGCTATAAATACCCTCTAAGGGTGAGCATAGAAACATATCTCTCTCATTTGAGAATAAAATCATCTTTTTCTCTCTAGCTTTCTCTCTATTTTTCGCATACTTTTTATATTATGCTAAGTATGACTTTGGTTATGCTTAGCTAATTTTCTTTCAAGCCGAAGACTAAAGCGAAGGCTCAATTCCAAACGTGAGAATTGTAAGGTACTTAAATCGCTTCGGATTTTCTCTCTGTTTTCTGAAGCTTACTTTTCAAATCAAAACTATTTCGACATTGATCCGGATATTGTTATGGTTAATGTTTGAAGAAGGATTTGCTTATTGAAGCATATTCAACTTCCCGAGAACACACTTAGCAAAATTGTTTGCTAAGAGGAAACTGAGATCGGAATCAATTGTTGTTGAAACGACACAATCCGAGTTGACAGCGAAGAATTGTTCTTGTAAGCTTACGTGAATCTTGAAGTAAAAATTTGTTTCGATGATAAAAGGAATTTGAGGCGAAGCTGAAGTCTGAGGCTGCTTTCACAATAAGTTTCTATTTATCTTAATCTCTTTAATCTGTTTATTTAATTATTTGTTTATTTATTTCTTATTTTTTATTTTAACCACAACTTTTAAACAAAAATCCCCCTTTTATATTTATTATTATTAATATTTATTATTATATTTTATTTTATTTTTATTTTTCTTTTATTTTAATATATCTTTTCAACTTCATCTGGAATTCTATCTTTTTCTAAAATCAAGAAAGAGTTTTATTAAATCAGAAACACCACAGTCCCTGTGGATCGACTCTGCTTCTCTATACTACATTTTCCTTTTTATTTATTAAGAAGCCAAGAATTATTTTGATAGCAAAATAACGGTTATCAAATTGGCGCCGTTGTTAGGGACTAACGGCAAGTACTGATTTATTTTTCTAGTTTTTGATTTATGACCAGAAGTAACCCAGGTGAATTAGTAGATCTAGATCCAGATATCGAAGCACGAGCACGAGGAATCCACGCACAAACGCTTCGAGAAAAGAGAAAAAGACAAGAAGAACAAGAGCAAAGTTCAGAAGCAGAATCAATTCCAGAGACAGACTCTGAACCAGACGCATACAACATCCTGATGGCAGAAGAAGAACAAACGATCCGAGAGCTAGCCACATCTCCTGTCACTCAGACGCCATTATGCATTAATTTTCCTAGTGGCGGGACTCCGTTTCAATTAAAGACATGACTCATTCATCTTCTTCCCACTTTCCACGGCTTTCCCACTGAAGATCCGTACAAACACTTATTGGAATTTCACATGGTTTGCACTAGCATGAAACCACAGGGAGTTATCAAGGATCAAATTAAATTGAGAGATTTCCCTTTCTCTTTATCTGACTTGGCTAAAGATTGGTTATTTTATTTACATCCAAATTCAGTTAATTCATGGGCTGACATGGATCGAATTTTTCTTGACATGTTCTTTCCAGCGGCTAAAGCAAGCGAGTTGCGAAGGAACATTCTTTCCATTCAACAAAAGAACGAAGAAAGTCTTTATGACTATTGGGAACGATTTAAAAAGCTTTGCGCACGTTGTCCGCAACACGAATTAAGTGAGCAAACGTTACTTCAATACTTTTATGAAGGTCTTTTACCAATGGAGATGAAAATGGTGGATGCCGCCAGTGGAGGAGCATTAGTTAACATGACCCCAACAACAACAAGGGAATTGATTTCAACCATGGCAGCCAACTCTCAACAGTTTTCGAGTGAACCCAGCCGACGAGTTCACGAGATAAGTATATTTTCCCTTGAAAATAAGTTAGATAAAATAACTGAAGTAGTTAATTCACTTGTTGCAGGAAAATCTGGAGCAACAAGAGCATGTGGGATATGCACAAAGCTAGACCATCCGACAGATTGCTGCCCGCTGATACAAGAAAGAGGCAATGCAGAAATCAACGCAGTAGGGAACTTTCCAGGTCCTCCACAAAGACAATACAACCCATACAGCAATACTTACAATCCAGGATGGCGAGACCACCCAAACTTCAGCTATGCGGCAAATCAGAGACCAACTTATCAACAAAGGCCTCCTCCTCAACAACAAACACAAAACTCATAATTGGAGGAACTCATAGGAAAGTTAGCAATTTCACAAGAAAAGTTCATTGCATCCCAAGAAAAATTCCAAAACCGAACCGAAACACATCTTCAAGAGTTAGATAATCAAGTAAGCCGACTAGCTCAAACTATGGGAAAATTAGAATCACAAGGAAAACTACCTTCTCAAACGAAGTTAAATCCGAGAGAGAATGTTAGTGCCATCACACTCAGAAGTGGAAAAGTTATCTTACCCAAAGTTCCAGTAGAAAAAGACGCACATCAGGAAGAACAAGAGGAAACGCCACCTCCAGAAATACAAGGTACGTCTGACTCGCATCCTTCTCCTTCTTCTCATGAAATCACGCCACCACCCTTCCCATCAAGGTTGATGAAGCGTGATAAAAGAGCTGAAGAAAGGGAGATCTTAGAGGTTTTCCAAAAAGTTCAAGTCAACATACCTCTTTTTTGAAGTAATTCGACAAGTACCAAGGCATGCTCAATTTTTAAAAGAACTTTTCATTACAAAGAGAAAATTAATGGGACACGAAAAGGTAAATTTTGGAGAACATGTTTCTGCAATTTTTCAACGAAAACTCCCACAAAAGATGAAGGATCAAAGGTATGTTCGCTATACCTTGCAAAATAGGTAATTTCAAAATTAAACGTGCAATGTGTGACTTAGGAGCTTCAATTAATGTTATGTCATTTTCTATATATAAAATGATTACTAACGAGCCTTTGAAGGAAACAAGAATAACCATACAGTTGGCTGATCGATCTGTGATCTATCCAGTGGGAGTAATGGAAAACGTCTTGGTAAAGGTCGATGTACCTAAGCACAGCACATACAACGATCGATGTTAAAAGTGGTATACTAACAATGGAATTTAATGGTGAGATCGTTGAATGTGATGTTTACAAAGCAATGAAATGCTCTGATCATGTTGAAAGAATTAATTTTGTTGATATTATAGATCCTTTAATTGATGAATATACTGAATCTAATTTTTCTTATGATCTTTTTAAGGATCCTGAACTTTGCCATGAAGATGAAGAAAATGAGTTTGAAAATATTAATTCAATCAATTCTGATTTATCTTTATATTCCTCTAAAACTAAAATTTTACCTTCTGTTTTGCAGGCACCTGAGGTAGAATTGAAGCAATTACCGGAGCATTTGAAATATGTCTTTTTGGGCGAAAATGAAACTTTACCAGTGATCATCTCAAGTAAATTATCCAAAGGAGAAGAGGAAGCTTTGGTAGCGATATTGCGCTCTCACAAAGAAGCCATAGGATGGACCATTGCCGACATTAAAGGATTAAGTCCCTCGACTTGCATGCATAAGATCAAAGTCGAAGAAGGAGCAAAGCCATCACGTGAAGGACAACGTCGATTAAATCCACTGATGATGGAAGTAGTAAAGAAAGAAATTCAGAAACTCCTTAACGCTGACGTAATCTATCCAATTTCATATAGTAATTGGGTAAGTATGATTCATGTGGTTCTCAAGAAAACGGGAGTCACAGTGGTCGAAAATCAAGAAGGGGAGCTAGTGCCAACAAGAGTTCAAAATGGATGGTGAGTTTGTATTGATTACAGGAAGTTGAACTCTCTTACTCGAAAAGATCATTTTCCTCTTCCTTTTATAGATCAAATGATTGAAAGATTAGCTAGGAAAACTCATTATTCTTGGCTTGATGGTTTTTCAGCTTTTTCCAAATCCCAGTGGCGCCAGAGGATCAAGAAAAAATGACTTTTACTTGTCCCTTAGGTACATTTGCATATAAACGAATACCCTTTGGTCTTTGTAACGCACCAGCCACCTTCCAAAGATGCATGCTAAGTATATTTTCCAACTATGTGGAGAAGAGCATCGAAGTCTTTATGGATGACTTCACGGTTTATGGTAACTCTTTTAATGAATGTCTTGATAATTTAACTAATTTGCTTAAAAATGCTTAGAATATAACCTTGTTTTGAATTATGAAAAATGTCATTTTATGGTTGATAAAGGGTTAATTTTAGGTCATATTGTTTCCTCGAAAGGGATTGTGGTTGATAAAGCTAAAACAGATGTTATACGTTCACTT